AAAGATTATCTATTTTATTTAACATTTAGATCCTAGAGAATCATGTTACCAAAATAAAATATTTTAGTTGACTATTGAATGTTTCTGAAATTATGTTACCTAGGATATTGGCTATTTAATGTAAGATTGCTGATAAGCCTTTAGCATGAGGCTGGTTGTAATAACAAACAGAATACTTTCCTTCAACGACCCTCAAACTCAATGTACTCAATTTTTAGCAATCTGAACAGCTTCAGAATTTATACATTTTCCAAATAAGGTATTCTGCTCTGACTACTTCATGACTCTGTGGACTCTCGACCTCCCACCTGCAGAGCTTATTAGTCCAGAGCAAAGATTAAACTTTGTCTTAAACAGAATTTAGACAAACAAAAAGCATAGGAAAACTCTTAAAAGCTGAAACAACTCTAATAATTTCACTCCCCAGGGCAACAACTCTGAGTTCTGGAACACCAACACAAGGCCAGCTGGAGAAGATCGATGCTGCCAACACGTCATCTTGGAGGATATAGCCGGTGTCAATGGGAAATAGCCCAGCAAAATTACATCACAAATGACAGCTCAGTATCCATATTAAATTCAGTGAATCTCAAAGGAAAGACACAATCATGTCCTCCAACCTCCACTCAGTGGGCTATTTAGGAGGTGAAGAGTTGTGAAGGGAACTTGCAACATTCGTTATACAAGGAGACTGATTGCTATGAAATTGCTTACGTTCTTTCTGATGCCAGTCACATTAATCTCTTGCTTAGATGAGAAATGGGTTAAAAAATGTGTTTTAATAACAGCAAATCAGATAAAGTGTGGGTGTGAAGGAAGATAGTTACTCTGGATAATAAACTAAGCCTGTTATGGAGATTTTTTTAGCACTAACAGATTTTTGCCATCCTCTGAATCACAACAATAGAAGACACACCAAAAAATCTTTGTGCTAGACTATCAACAAGCACAAAATCTTTCTGAAGTCTATTAGACATACAGGGAAATATTTGTGTTGCTGATCTGTCTGGATAAGTCCCAAAAAAGCCAGTTGCTTGATGTAGGTCAGCCAGAGTACAGAGCTTTGCGTGGCAAAAAAGTCACAATACAGTCAAAAAACATGTGGGTATTTCGACCTTTCTTCTCCATTGACCTTTATCCTATTTTTGAGCTTACTTTACTGCTGTGATTTTTTTTGCTTCTTTGGATTTTAATTAAACTCTCCTTAGGCTTGCTAGCTTGACATTTTCTTCTGGTTTTGTTTGGGTTTGGTTTTGTTTTTTTTTTTTTTATTTTTTAAATTTTTTTTCCAATTTAAGAATGAAGGAAGCCTGTTTACCAGGCCAGTTTTCCCAAAATCTCACTGCTTTTTCTATAATTTAAATGTATCATTAATGCACAATATCCAAGTAAAACTTTGTGAATTTTAATCAGGTGGGTATAACAAGCTTTCTAATTATTTTGAAGCTGATTATCACCCGTTATGTAACATACACATGGTTTTCACAGCTGTGCAGTAATAGAAAAATCTTAGTTAGCATCTAAGCCTAACAGTATTTAGCTCTGAACCAGATCATATTGAGAGTGTTTGATGTTGACTGCCAGGTGAGAATTGGGTCCCTACTAAAATGCAGAAGACATTTTGTTGCTGCTTTCCTTGCGGCCAAGATTTCATCTTGCACGGACTGCAAATATGAATTCCTTTTCTCTTTGCTTTTCCAATTTTCTTCTCCCACACAAATCAATCTTACACTTATTCAACTTTATTAGATTTACTCTCAAATCATATTGCTGCAACTGAGAACAGAATCAGACCCAGCAATGCACTTTGCCTTCAAAATAATTAGCTGCATACTGTACAGTCCCCCGTTTCTGTCCAGCTATATGTGCTGTCTGGAGAACCCATACACTGGATTTCCACAGGTTGTGCAACAGAGTCCTTTAGTTTTATATCAAAGACTACCCTGATTAGAGAAAGCCTTATAAAGACAAAGCACCACATTCAGATAATTCATGTGCATAGAATCCACATACAGACCCGAAGTTATTGACCAGGCAGAGTAAGTATTTCTGATCATGACACTGTGCAGTTTTTAAAATAAAGTGCTATTTGCTAATGGCTAAACCTTACACGTGGCTATTGCATGAACACTTCAGGCTGCATTGTCTGGAACACCTTCACCAAAAAAGGATGGAGTCTAAGCACTAGGGCAATGACAGGTTAGGTTGTTGGGTTTTGGTTTTTTTCCATTTTATTTTGTGTTCCAACAGAACTTTTGTCAAACATAGAGCACGTGAACACACAAGTTTCCTTCATTGTTCCCCACACAGAGTTGTTCATAGAGGAGGAATACTAAGGAGGAATGTTTCTAAAGCCATAAACAGCTTCTCCATTTATTTTAGCTTTCATTTTGTGGTTTGTTTCATTTGTTTGTTTGTTTGTTTTTCTTGTATTTAATATTATGACAAAACATTATAAGAACATCTTTTTTTTAGTGGTGTGAATATCAAATAGTATCCATCAATCCCTGAATCATGCTGTTCAAAGTGCTTAAATCTACACTAAAAGTAGAACAATGGAAAAGTACTCCCCATGTGGCTAAGAAAACACCTACTGATCGTCTAAATGTGACTGCAGTCGGGTAGTTATGTCCTACATTTATTCACATCCCAGTCTTTACCCCAGGGCATGTAAAAGGGAGGGAAAGGGGAGAAGATTATGCATTACTTTCAGAAGTTACTGGGGTATTTGGCATCCAGATGAACAAAGGCAAATGCCATCATGCCTAACAGGTGTCTGTAAGAGCAAATAAATAATAACTTTCTTAGACTACGAAAATGATCAAATGTGCAAAGTTCTCTTAAAATTTTATCTGGCCTGGCAGCTTCATTTCCATTTTGTGAATGTCTGGCATATGTCCAGAGGGAGACACCATAATAAAGAACAGACTGTAGAAAAGGATTTGAGCAAATTGTCAGAGAAATAAACATTTTAAGCAAATAAAAATCAGTGCACATCCCAAAGCTCTATTAGCTTGTTATGCGGATACTGAGATTTCTTGACTTTCACAACAGGAGCATAGTCATTTCCTCCCACAATGTCAGTTCTGGATTACTCCCACAAACATCCCCCAAACTGCAGTTTACTCACTCTCTACCCATCACTTCTCATTAAGAAGACCGAAATATTATAAGCTTTACTTTTCTCATTGTGACAATCAGAATGAACAAATCCCACGCATACCTTATATATTAGCCAATATCATTCAGCTACCATAAAAATACCTAAAGCTAGTTAATTACATAAGTGGACTATAAGGTCTGTTTGCCAGGATGCCAGTTACATTTCTGCCAGGATGAATCAAACCAATGACTATAAGACAGTAAGCTGCAACCAGTAACTCTACCCGAACTCCTCTGCTTCCACTAGCAGAGAGTAGCAGAGAGCTTGGCCTGAGTATGTTGTAGGGCTACAATGCCATTCCTCCTCTTTCTAAAATAGAAAGGGCTTTTCTGTTATTTAAAACATAGGTATGCTTATTTCATTTGTCTTAAAAGTGTCCAGACGTAAACATAGTGGGGTTTTTTTCTTCCCTGACAGCCATGGTACACGCATTGTTTGCAACTCCTCAAAGGTAGAATCATCCATAAAAAATAAAACTAATTTATTTATTCATTAAAGTGAATAAATTGTTTTTAATACTTCCAGGTCTGATTTAAATATTAATTTTGTATAAATAAAGTTTATTCTGAAAACAATGATATTTGTTGGTACTCATGTCATTTTTTCTGCCTGAGTTCTTACTGAAATCATGTTGAAATTAATAAAGTTTTACTTATTGTTACAAGCTAAAAACAAATGAAAGATTATTTCTTAACCCTGAATATATCATTTTAAAGCAAATACAGTTCTTGGAACATTAAAATACAAGGGGACTCTGTAATCCACAGCAAAATAATGTTTTGCTCTTACTTTTTAGAAAATAATACTTTCTATAATACAAAGTGACAAACCATCTACAATACTGTCTTTTTATTCCCCTTTGGTTTGGAAGTCATCACTGTAAATAGCAGGACTCTCTGCACTTCAGTGCCTATTGCCTCACTTGTTTTACTTGCCTGACAATTGCAAATGATCTTATTTGCAGGATTTTGAAAGAGGGAAAAGAAAAAGTTAAATGCTTAAAAATAAAATCCACAACCACATTAATAATTTTCCAGGAAGTGTTAAAAATAGGGTTTGCTTTTATATTTATAAAAGGGATACAATCAATTCATTCTTAAAATAATAATTAAAAAAAAAAAAAACCAACAAACCCAAGAAAGCAAAAACCAAACCATCTCTAGTTTCTACACACTCTGTAGTGACTACTGTGAAGCAACCGATACAGACTGGGTATATTCTGTTGTTTGACAGGTATCTACCAAGTTACAGGTTAGATGATCAGACTGTAGTGTTACCCCAAATGGGGGTCACTGTAAGGGCAGGGAAGCAGCAGTGCACATTATGGGAGTAGAAATGAAACTGGAGCTCTCAGTGAGGGATGGGGTCCTTCTAAGAACAGATATTCTCCGAAAGAGGTGAACTGCAGCAAGCATGGCCTTCAGGAATCAGGCTAGGCAGGCCAACAAAATGGATGGTGCTTCTGATATCAACATAGCTTTGTCCAAGCATTCCCAAGAGAGGTTAAAAACAAACAAACAAAAGTCTAAAACTATACTAATGAAGCAAAAAAGTTTCCTATCTATACAGCAGTCTCTTCATTTAAAAAAATGTAAATATACAAATCCCAATGACATATAAAACAAAGTCAAAAATGTGAATGGGAAGAGACATGGGTAAAACAGGAAGACTGATGCTACAAAGAAATTGCAAAAAACATATGTACAAGACCCTGTTTTTCCTCGTATGTTATCGATTGTAATGCATGTTTAACAGCAGCAGTCGAGGATGTAGTTCCAGGCACCGGACTGCAGACTCAGCTCCTACTTAAGGGGGTTGACAGCCCCTTGCATTTCGGTCACCAAATGACACTTGATATACTGGTCTCCCGTGGCAAGAGCGGCAGTATCGCACTGTTTGTGTGGGCCTCTTCCGGATTTTGCTCCCTGTTACTTTTTGTCTGTGGCCGCTGCCCATTTATAAGTGTCATAGGGATGTTGCAGTAGGTATGCTGGTTACCTATTGAGGTAAGTGGCAGGGTGCCGGTAGGAGGTACATCGTATTCATAGCTTCGATAATAGTGTTTCTGGCGCATCTGCGAATGATATGTATTATGAAAGGTGGAGCGCAGGTCTGGATGGGCAGTGGCAAGAGCAGTGGAGGTGGCAGCAGCCATGGAAATTGCGGAGACTGTCTGCAGTTCCCCAAAGGGCCCCTGCTCACTGACGTCTAAAACCTGCTCATGTGTGATGGGTTCAATCCTCTTAAAAGGCATTTCATACTGTAAACGTTTCCAGAACTTGGAATTCAACTTGTTGCATTTTGGTCCGTGCCACTTAATGACAGTGAGGAGCTTGATGGTATGTTTCAGGGCCTCGACCTCCTGGTAGTTCATAACTCCTCGTAGTTCACTGCATTCAATCAGTATCACTTTAATTTCACCTGTGACTAACATGTTTCGAAGCCTCGTTTCCAGCTCGAAGATGCTCCAGCCTCTTCTTACCACATAATTTGGAGTCATGACGATGATCAGTCGCTTGCTTTGGTCTACACATCTTGCCACGTCTTCAATGTAGGCTACAAAATAAGAGAATTGCTCAAAAATCAGTCTAAGAAAACACTCTGCTCCCACAAATTGGGAGAAACAACAGAGGCAAATCACTGCTCCCAGAAGGGCTCACTGAAATATGCAAAAACATCACTTGCAAACATGTCAGGTTTGCTTGTCAGGACATGGTCCTGGGCAACCTGCTCTAGGTGATCTTGCTTGAGCGGGAGGGTTAGACAAGACGACTTCAAGAGGTCGCTTCCAACCTCAACTGTTCTGTGACTCTGCAAAGCTTCTATTCCCCCATGTGCTATGGATTGCGAGTGTTTGTTTATGAGTTGTGGTTTTGTATCAATACCTGTATCTTTATTGGAGCAAGTGTATCCATCACTATTTTTTCCTTTAGAAAGGCAAAGTCACCCAGGTAGGCAATAGGGCAGCAACTATGTGCTTCAGGGGCTCAGTCTCAAACCCAAATGATACTCTAAGGTGTACTGCAGGGTTAGATTCTTCTTTTCCTTTCATGGCCCCAACATAAAACCGCAAAAACAGTGTTATCTCCTGCAAAGTAATGATCTTGCTGTAGACTTAAAAAATATCCATGTGATTGTTTGATATTGTGCTTTGCCCATACCAAGCATCCTTTCTTAACTTTAGTAATAATTACTGAACTTAGTAGCTGTCTATATGGTTACACTGAAGTTATGAAGAATACTGCGGCAACTTACAAAAAATTACTGGGCGTAGGTTGGAATATGTGAAAGAAACATGAAAAAGACCTACTTGTACCAGCTGGAATCAATTCTAATTTTCAGTCTCTGAGAATGATCCAGAACCTCCACTACACATTTATCTGCAGTGGACAGCAAGAGAATTCGCTGCTTTGCTCTGCTGTACTACTCAACCCCTGCCTTGGTCCAAACACAGCTTTTTCTTTCCTGTCTGAATTTCTGTAACAAATACTTAGAATCATGGATATCTTGCCAGGCAAACTTAAGAAACAGAAGACAAACCCCTCTGTATACATTCCTAGATATGTTAGCTCTCAAAAAATCTGTGAAAAAATGTTGGTCTCATTCGTTTCCTTTACTTATGCGTGCCCTTTCTGCACTGTCTCACCTTGAATCAATATACTACAATTACTAAAAAATAATCCTCTTATCTGGGAAATACACATTAAGTAGTCTGGTGGCTTATCTTCACCATTCTCTAAGACAAGGGAGGAAAGATGGCAATTCTGAAGGAGTAGATATAGAAATGATACCAAAACAATCACTGCAATCACTGCATTTGCTGTTTAGGAAACATCCAAGCATAAGGGCATGACTTACTTCCTGTGGGAATCAAATCTCTGTCTGGTATGAACAATTTGTATCCATAATGCTTTTCAAGCATATCTGGTAGGATCTCAAGAGCAAATCTTTCTTCTTCTCCAGTTTCTTGATTCCACTGGTCAGGATCCACTTTGGTATAAGATAGATATGCATCATAGTCTTTGTTGTCTAAGGAAAGAGAGGAAGAAAATAAATTAGTATATTCATTATTCTTTCAGATTTCCTAGATAATTCCCCAGGAATTCTTTCTGGGAGAATTTCCCAGGAAAAGGAAGTTGTTTAGATAAAATGGCAAGCTTTCACCCAATCTCTGGATATGAATCCATTCACCTTTCCTGTTTCACCTGGTAGAGGTAATCGTTATTTACACAGATGCAAAGGAGAAGGGATCCATGTACATGGATTGAAGTCAGTTTGTTCATAACATTTCTGTATGGCTCTGTATGAAGGAAATCCAGTCAACTGTGTGGTGCCAGCTTGTGAGCACAGGAGAAAAAAGTCACTGAAAAGAATTTGAATTCTTCTCTAGCTTTAAAAGGTAAAAGAAAAGCACGGAAATACCCAAGCTAATGTGTAATTGTCTCTGTTGCATAGTAAAAACATTTCAGTCTTGCCAGATTTTTACAATAAATTTAGAGCCAGGGGCTGAAATATTCAAAGCATATGTGTAGCTTACTTGTAAAACTCATCAGCTTTCCAGGTCTGAAATTATTGCCAAGCTAAAATCTTTGCAGCATCAGCTCCTGATAATGCAGTTTAAATCTCCTGAATTATGTGTGCTTAAATTTGCAAATTTAATGTTGCATTAATGTACATTTCGTTACTTAACAGTGTGCTATTTCATTTCAATATGAGAAATAAATGTGCCTATTTCTTAAATGCGCTTGGTGTGTTTGCTTGAAAGACTGAATCAAAAGAGCCATCATTAATTTTCATTAGGAGGTCAATAATGCCAAGTGCTCTGGAACTAATTCAGTGGAATAAGAGGCCATGTTTTGACTTTTGTTGTGAAAAAAGAAAAAAAAATCAATGGCAAGAGTAGTGAAATGTTAACATCCTTCTAATTCCCTCGACAACACTGTGCACAGGCTATCGAGAATATCAATTGCTTGCAAAAGAGACCTGATTGAATACTCAACTGTGTGTCACAAGTAAAGTTATATTCAGTCAGTGCTGACTTCAGTTATTTACTGAGCCATTCCTTTCCTCATTTTATACCTTTTTGTACTCTGGTAGCATTATTTGGAAAAGCCTGACAAATACAGGATTGGTGAAAAGAGTAGAAATGAAATTAATGAAACAGTGCTGATCTTGAACAGTCCACTCTTCCTTCTGAGGAACCATACATGCTCACTAACATTTGCAGGTGACAAAATTAAAATGATAAAACTGTAACTACTTTAAATTTTTCCAAACCCATGAAATGAGCTCGCGCTCATTCTCTCCCCTGCACACTTTTTGTTTGATATTATATATGGTATTGTTATATCCACAGAAAACAAAACAAAAAACCAAAAACAACAGAAAAAAAAAGAAAAATAAGAAAAAATAAGTAGCACTGCCTTCTATGGTTCACTCTTTCTATTGTTTTTCTTTGGAGTACTTGTGAAACCATGATCTTTAACAACAGACAAGCACCTAATGCCTTTGACAATGCCTTGAAATAACAATGAATGGACCAAGTAGGAGGTAAAGGGAGATTACATACCAGGTTTTTGCTTCTACAGTAGGACAGTGCTAACCCAGCAACCGAGTTAACACACAGAAAGGTCAAGAGATATATGGGAAATTATGACAACTGACAAAATGATGATGCAGTAATGTCATTTTCTGTTATCACCTTAGTAGTGATCATAGCCATAGTACGTGCTCAAGAGCAGTGTTGCTCTGTTGAAAGTCTTTGAATAAAGAATGTATCATTTCTCAAAGGCATAAATAATAAGAAATAATGCAGTGTTCAAACTGTTTTAAAGGCTCAGGGGATTGTCTGTTAAGATGGTTTGCACATTCTTACTTAGGGGAAAAATTATTCATGCTATGCCACTGTTTTCTTGCATATGTAAATATCACGCTAATGCATTTATTTGAAATATACATTTTTTATATCATGGAGGCTCCAGCGTTTCCACTGACTACAACTTCATTATCCTGCATTGCAGGAAACATTTCTTTCCACCCTAGTTCCCTAGTTTCAACAGCATTTGAAGGGCAAAGAATGGCCAGGATCTAGGGTATGTCTACACAGATGGGTTCAGGCAATCATGAATTTATTCAAATTACAGTCCAGGAAGATGTGTACTCTGGTTTGGGAAACTGTTAGATGCATTAGCACAGTGGTTTCCCTGGGCTATTATACTCCCCATCTGTCAGGGGTTTTTAACTTTGTTTGATGAATAGTAAAAAGTTCAGTTTACAGCAAAATTAACTTATGTGGTAATTTTGTTATCTGATGGGCTGACATACTGGCATGAGCAGGCAATTTGCAAAATGTGAAATGTCTGAGATACACAAGGGATGATCACATATGCCTTTGTTTTACTTCTATGATATTTATGTATTAGCCTGCTTTTAGTTAACTAAAATTATTTGGCTTACATTGCCAACTCTGTGAAACATTTTAAGAACTACAGCAGGCAGATAGCTATGCAGCCATCAAAAGTTATCTATTCTGTGATGTGATCAAAAAGCAATGGCATTATTTATTGTTTTCCTTAATTGTTATGGATAGCCAAAAAAAAAAAGTGGAATATCAATTGTAATGAAAAATGGGAGAACTCGTAAAATTGTTAAAAACTCCCATCTCCAGGAAAGTATTTAAAGACACAGTAGACAAACTCTCTGCTTGTAATTCTTCTCAGTTAAATGGTCCCACCTACTCCTGCTTGTAATGGGTGGCACTGATGCCCACATTTGAAAGACCATTTCTGATCTTAATTCGTGTTTTCTAATGTGCTGTCCCAATGGACTGAGAGGGAGGGATGGGAGCCTGCAGACATCCAGATCTTATGTCTGAGTCAAACTGCAGGAGCTCAGGCTTGTATCTTGCCAGTTTCTTGGCCATATCACATGGAAGCAGGAGGCTTTCAGCATTTTTCTCAAGCCCATTACTCTCAGGCTGTTTTCTGTGTAAGCCTTCCTTCGAGCAACACATCCAGGAGTCCCCAGACTCCTGGTAAGCATGAAGGAAGTCCATCACAGCTTTTTGTTTTCTTGACCATTCACCGGAACAGGTATTTTACCATGAAAATATTTGGTGTCAGCACATCTGCCTTTTCCAGCCAAAAATACCTCACCAGAATATTCCTGATTTGCTCCAAGTCACAAATTAAGTCATAAAGGACTTGATATTACTACTTATATTATTACGTAGTACGATAATTACAGATTTGGCTACACAATAATTTCAGATACTGGCTGGATCTAATATTCAGTGTCAATATCAAAAAAGGCAAAAATCCAAAGTCAAAACAAACAAAGCTGATGGCAAGCTAAGCTTTTCTTTAAAAAGAGAATTTCCTCATTTTCCTTTCATCAGCTAACAATTAAGACTTCTATCCAAGCATCCTCAGAATGAAAATGTGATTGATTGTTGCATGCACTTTGGTTTTAGATACAGATTATGCTATTTCAAAGATCTGGTTTTGTCAGGCTCCTGTGCATTAGCAATAAACTGGAATATAGTTACTCATTACCTGTTTCCTCCTACACTTAGAAAGAAAAATACCTGCTAATAACCAAAGGCAGGGATGTTGATCATTTCATCTGAAACTTTTTTTTCTTTCCCATGGAGACTGAAAGCAATTACCTAGATATACTTTTGTACCTGAAAGCACTCTTACTCCCTTAACCATTTAATGATTCTTTTTTTTTTAGAAACATAACAGAATAAGTTGATCTTGCATTGTCTCCAGCTATGTTGCAGAGCTGTGTTATGTAATGGCTGTCCATTCATGTAGTGAACGCAGCTGAGAGTGACGTACACAATCATGCAACAGCAATACTTTGAAGCATTTTGGTGTAATAGGTTTTCTCTTCCATTCTTTTTGAATGGACAAGTAATCCTTTTCAGCTACGTGGTTCATAGTTGCTTTCTGCTGCCTGCAGGTAATATACATGTTGGAGCTCTTCAACTCAACAGCCTCCATTTCTGTGAAGTTTTGTTGTATCCATTAACCGAAAATATTGAAACAAAACCTAAAGCAGACCTTGCATGACCAAATTCAACCAGACTTGATGCAAAAAATTCTTTGTTATTGTACTGTAGATAATCATAAGAGCATGTGGAAACTCTGGATCAGTTCATCATGATGGGGTGAAATACAGCCCATGCTCAATGTATGATGCATTCAGTCCACAAATGTTTCAGTCAGCTCAAAACCAGCACTTCAAGACTCTGGTCAAAATAGACTGAGGTACAAACCTTGCCATATCTTTTCAACTGTTCTATGGAGTTGAAAGTGAGGACACTGAATAACGGTCATGGAGCTCAGCTCAGCCACGGGTCTGACAAAATTGTTCGGATCGACCTTACGGGTAAACATTGAGGGTGAAATCCCAGCTTCATTATAGAATCATAGGATCATTTCGGTTGGCAAAGACCCTTAAGGTCATCAAGTCCAACCATTAATGTAGCACCACCGAGTGCACCCTGAACTATGTCCGGAAGCACCACATCTACAGTCTTTTACATACCTCCAGGGATGGTGACTCAACCATTTCCCTGGGCAGCCTCTTTCAATGTTTGACAACCGTTTTGTTAAAGAAATTCATCCTCATAGCCAATCTAAACCTCCCCTGGTGCAACTTGAGGCCATTTACTCTTGTCCTATCACTTGTTACTTAGGAAAAGAGACCGACACCCACCTCGTTACAACCTCCATTCGAATAGTTGTACAGACAGATAAAGGCTCCCCTCAGCATCCTTTTCTCCAGGCTAAACAACCCCAGTTCCCTCAGCTACTCCTCATAAGACCTGTGCTCCAGACCCTTCACCAGCTTCACTGCCCTTCTCTGGACACAGTCCAGCACCTCAATGTCCTTCTTGTAGTGAGAGGCCCAAAACTGCACGCAGTATTCGAGGTGCGGCCTCACCAGTGCTGAGTACAGGGGGACAATCACTTCCCTACTGAAAGCTGGCCACACTATGATATACGTAATACAATAACACA